GGGGGGGAGACTACCTTCTCCCAGAGAAATGCAGGAGAAATATATTGTGCCTTAGAAAATTGAAACTTTTCTGTATAATTTTCAAAGGTCAAATTGCTTTAATTCTGTTTTGGGCCTTGTTTGTGTTGTGTTTCAGCCAGCATTTTTCAGAGCACAGTAGTGACTTTTTTTTTCCTTTCCCCCCTGTTTTTGCTCAGTGTAAACAGTTCCTTGCTGTGGTTACACAGACAAATATAGCAGAGAACGCTTTTCTGGGAGAAGAGTCTCCCCGTGCATTTCTTAACCATTTTTGGGAAGAATCGATCTATCTGTGCATGTGAGAGAGGGAGGCAGTAGCTGTAAATTGAAGTGACATCATATATATTACTCCCATTGATCCGCTTTTAGACTCGAGCCAGGATAAAAGGAAATGGCATCAGGGAGGAAGTATGCTCGTTTAGGCACAGATCCCAGTGTGATAATGGAGTAATAATAGAAATCACGCCACTGTCAATCGGTTGCTGCATTAGTCTGAGGCACATTTCCCCTCCGAGGAGGCTTTCAATGACTTCATTCAAGTGCAGGCAGGAGCAAATGGGACATTCAGCATACCAGCTGTACTACTTTAGTGATTTGTGTCCTGGCTTAGGGGTGCAGTGCAAGCGCTGGTGCTGTGGATGCTCAAGTAGATAGATCTGTGTCACATTTCATGGCTGTGAAAGGTCAGTAGTCAAATGTTTCAGTGGCGTCTTTTTTCTAGTATAAAGGGCGAATCTGGCATTTACTGCATTTGTTAATGTAGGAATTGATAAATACGCTCCTTTGCGTGGGTGGTCTTCTGGGATGTGAGGTCCATGACCTCTGTAGCTGCCATACCAGATCTTTGACGAGGCAAGATTTGTTTTCTTTGTCCTTTTTACAGGTTGGGGGTAGGATTCAGAAAACTCATAGTTTTGTTCCAAGATTATTTGTAGAAACCCTTTCAAACCTACTAACATCTTGAGATACCCTTGTAACACAGTATAATGGCTTAAGAGTCTTGTGTACTGATACGAATAAAATACAAAGTATGCTTTTTCATCGTTCCCAGACATTTAGTGTACATTGAAGCTCAGCCCTAGTAAGCTGCTTCGGTAATAATTTGAGCTATATTTTCAATTTGGTTACGTGTTCTTTAATTCTGCCATTGTGCCTTTTTCAAATGCAGCCCTAGTTTTGATACTGCCTCTCATTCACAGTTTGGTTTAGACCTAACAGCCTAATTATTCAAACTTTAAAACTACGACATCAGGTAACGTGGGGAAGCAGGGGTCAAATGGATATTTAATGGCAGGACAAAGTGAACTCTTTGAAAAGGCTGAAGAGTTGCAGGAGAGGCTTTACAGTCTTAAGGGCAAGATAAAGTATACAGCGCTGGGACACGGCTTTATAGTGGGGGTGATGTTAAATTATATGCGACATGACAGAAAACCTCTTGTGTACTTGATGGCAACATATTAATTTGTTTGGTTTTTGTAATGTCAGTACTTGCAACTGAGGGAGGGGGAACCCTGGGAAAAGTAGTGTGATTTCCATGTAGCAGGCATAGATAGGTTTGGACAGGAGCTATCTACTTTACACTATAAATAGATGCTGTTGCAGCAGTCATTGCCATAATGAAAACTATTTCTCGATACTCGCCACATTTCCTGATCAAAGTAATCTACTTTAATAATCGCATATATTTAAGCATTTTGATTGAGCATGCTCCAATATGTTTCTGAGTGATTTTTTTATATATCCATATCTATATAAATATATGATTTTTTAGTTTTTTTCCTTTTTTAGCAGGAAGACTAACATTTTGTGTTTGGGGTGTTATGATTGTTTTGTGACTGTTTTTGACATGGAGATACACATTAACACCATGAAGTTTATCTTGCTGTACTTTGCTGTAGCTGCTTTGTGTAATTTTTTGGGGTATGTTAGATATTCAATATGCATTCATGCAATATGAGTTGTAAAGGAAAATGGCTTCACAGTACTTGAAAAGAAATTTACTTTTTGTTTTCTTCAGCATTTATGTTTTGGTAGCACTTAAAAGCAAGAGCCCCTTTGTGTTAAGCATAAGGCAAACAAATGGAAAATTGACAGTGTGTATCCCAAACAATTCTCATGGTGTGAAAGATGAGAAGTAACAGGTGGGTGGGACAAATAAGGATGGTGGTGGGGAAAATGAAAAATAATGGACTGTGGGTTTTTTGACCGAAAATTCAAGTGCAATTTTATGACGTTTATTTATAACTGTTAAAAAGCCGCTTTGCAGGTAGTGTTATTCATATTGCTGTGTTTGGGGAAAAGAAGATTTCTAGACTCCTGAAGGAATTTTTTTATAGTCTCCATAGTGCAACTTTGGCCGGGCTTTCTGCCTCTTTGCTTGGAATAGGTTTTTCTCCTAGGCAGAGTCTCTTTTATGAAAAGGAAAGGGTAAGGAATGAAAGAGAATGTTCCTCCTTTTATTTTGTGTTGGAAGTAGTGGGAGAACAAAATGTAATAGTTGCGCCCACTAGTGCCACTTCGGTTACAGGTCTGTCAGCATTTCTTCTGCTGGTGCCCCCACCCTCTCTGCCGGTGTTTGCTAGCTCCTACCTTGAACTTTAATTAAACGGTGAGCTGGAAACTGGTATGTAAAGTCTCATCTTGGGCAGCTGGAACGTGGGAAAATAACAGAAGCCATGGTCTCGGATTTTTTTCCCTGTAGTCTCAAATCTAAACTGAAAAGAGTTTAACCTGTAATTCTGAAAACTGTTCACCCATAATTCAGCACTAGGAAGAGGTAAGTTAAGGACATGGCTGTTGCTCTACTGCTGTGCTTTTGTTGGCTTCAGTGAGATTCTGTAATGTTATCTTAAACAATAGCTTTCTGTGGGTGAATCTGTAGAGCAATTATACTGGAGATATATTATAAAATAATAATTTTCCGTTGTTCCTTACCTATGTATTCAAGCAGCTGTTCTACAGTTTCAACAAATTAGGTATGGCTCTGCTATCCTTGTAGCTAGCAGAGAAAGCTTTCTAAATCAGAAGTTACCTTTCTCTGCATGGTGTTCTGCAACATTTCAGATTTTATTAGTGTTCAGAATGAATTCAGTTGCCATGCAGAGCCACTTCCCAGAAGCCTTCCCTGTTTTATTTTTTAGAGTGTCTCGCCATCCCCCGGGCAGCTGCTGTTGGACTGCACAATAAACATTCAAGTTGGCTTTTTTGTTGTTATCCTGAAATTGAAATGTTCAATATTTTTAAATGTCTGACTGTTTTAAACAACTCCATTTTGTTGGCAGACTTCGTTATCACTTAGAAGATATTCCAGTAAAAGCCAGCAAGATGTAGGTTTTTTCAGTTTCTAAGAATACAACTTTAATATTAAAAAAAAAAATGGAAGGAAATCAAAATGCAGGGAAACGAAAGCATTAAAACCCTAGAGATGTCTTTTCCTCTTTTTTCTGATTTAGGTACTAATGCTAAATTACATCAGACCAAAAGGGAAGAAAACGTCACGTTACTTAGTTAGTTATTAATGGCGATATTTTACAGATACTTTATACAGATATTTTACTTATCAGAAGATCTTTGATATCTTCATAGACTTGCTATCAGCGGTCAGGGGTCCAGACTTGTTTGGTCCACATAAACAGCCGTGGCTGTGTAGTGTGTTGTTGGAAGAGTCATTTCCTATAGCTGACTTCATTTTGTACCTGCTTAGTGTATTGACGCAGCAGAGCGGGACATGGGCAGTGAGGCGGGAGCAGAGAATCACCAAATGTGATAAGAGCTGGAAGCAGTGTTAAACTAATAGGATATGCATTTTAATACAAAATCTTCCTCCCTATTTTTCGTCATATCCCCTGTATTTTTTTTTTTTTTTTTTTTTGGCATTGACCTGTCTGGAGGACATTAGAAGTAAGCAGTGCTGGTTTCTTTTTGTGTGCAAAAGCTTAAATTCACATTCTTCTTCCCTTCCCCCTTCCTCTTTTGCTGCCCCACAATGTTGAAGAGTGGGGAAAGCTTTGGGGCATATAACAAACTTCTGACTGATCACCCTGAGCCCCCAGTTTCCAGTAGATGTTTCCTGGCAGCTGGTGTAATTTCTCTCTGAGCTCTGTTTGAATTATTTATTTGTTCATCCAATAAGCCTATTAAACAGAGCACTTAGGCACTTGCTACATCAGACTTCTTGTGCTTTTTCTTTTTAGGTTACATTAGGTTCGACTTGAAAACGATAGGTTCTGGAGTCAGGCGACTAACTATTAAATATATATCTACATGCATAGATAGATATATACTGTGTGCCACAATCATAACATTCATGCGTCTTTACCATGGACTGATGGATGGCTTGTGAGTTACTGCACTAGAATGTACCTCAAAATGTGTTGTTACAACAATTGTTTTGTGGGTCGCTTATTTATATTGTGTTTCTTTGTTCACTGGAAGAATATCATGCAATTGCTCATATAACAGATAAAAATGCCACTCTTCAAAATTATACATTTGTACGTCTGGTTGTTTCCAGAAATTAGGCACTGTAAATTATTTTCGTTTCTTATTCCTTCCGAGCCCAAACAAAATAGAATTACTTGGCATATGTATTCCATAAAACTCTTATTTAATAAGCTACGATTGTGTTTCAATAAGATAAGCATGGTTTAGATCAGATCTAACTACAGTAATGAAAACCATGGAAAATGGGTCTTAATTGGGCCCCAGCACAGTCTTTCAGAATGCAGACACGTAAACCCTGAGGTTTTTCAAAAACCGGCTAGAAGTTCTTGTCATATTTCAAGCACATGCTGGAAGTACACAGGTTATCACAGTCTTGTCCTCTTTGGTTTGTTTCCGTTTAATCGCTCAGTCAGTAGAGATCTTTATTCACACATGGCATTTATTTTCCTCTTAGCTTCTCCCTGACCAGCTGGTCTTACTTCTGGAGTCTCTCTTGGAGGAGAAGACATTGTGTCCTAGAATACTGCAGCGCCTGGAGAAAACGTACCAGCTCCGGGAGCAAGATGCTGAGGTAATTCACTTTAAAAAAAAAAATTAAAAATCTCCCTAGTGTATGCCGTTGCATTGTTGACTTGGAGTGATAGCGTTCCCCGAGGATCCAGGCTCATTCGGGTTCTTTTTCCCACGTCTAAATCTGAAATTGGATGTTCTTAGCTCCAGTGTTGTTGCATCTTCAGCTGCGTTAGCATACTGTGGCAGTAGGAGAGAGCGCAGTCTAGATGTCATTACTGTTGTCCATATACCTTGGGCACCGCATTTGCTCAAGTGTTAAATTTTTCACTGTGTCATGGTGTATTAGAGCCCAGTTCATTTCAGTTGTGTGGATTGTGTCCAAATGCAAGTGTGTCTGTTATGGTCTGAAATTTTTCTTCCCCATGGTCAGCCCTTATTGCTCCCCTTGGAGTGCTCCAAAGTCTCAGTCAGGATTTAGAAAAGTTTGCTCTCCAGAGAGACTACAGTCTGCTCTGGCTTTGGGCATGAATTTAAGGGGGACTCAGTTGTTTACAGTTGCTCCTAGTATGTGCCAGGGATATTAATAGCCCCTGAGGAAAACACTGTTTTATACGATATTGTAAATGCGATTCCCCATCACAGGCACATGTGAGGCTCGCACCCCTGCTCCAAAGAGCTTAATGTCTTTTGGGGGCAAACCAGTAAATCCTTATTACCACATGCAGTGCTGGCTGTTGTGTAGAGTCCCATGGTTTTCTCAAGCTGGGAGAGTTATGACAATTAAGGCAGCAGAAGTTGTGGCTGAAAGCACCCATGCAATGAGTCTTTGCTTTGAGTTCATAATATTCAGGAGGGAAGATAAGAAGATGGAATCAGTCATGAAAATAAAGGATGTGTACATTTATATATAAACAAGGGGTAGTTATGAAGTAGCATATGATCAAACTAATGTGCAATGAGGGAGCATGGTAAACTTAACGTGACATTTGACTCCTGTTTAATTAAAAACTACTGTGAAGGCTGTGCAAAGTCAGTGTGCATGACCCTGTTATAATTGGACTTTATGGCAATAATTAAAATTGAAGGAGAGCGCAAAATCTCTCTTGTTACTCTTATGCTGAAGTTGCTGGGTGGACACTTAGAAACACTTGCGAATCCAAACATTAACGTAAAGATTGATAGAACAGAGGTCTAGCTTTTTCTCAGGAAAAAATGGACATTTCAACTGTTGCCATTTACTGCACCTTCTTAGTTTTTTGTTGATACAGGTTTCCAAATGCCAGATTTGTTTTTAATTAGTACTTGAAACAACATTTCTATTTATAGGTATTAGAATATATTTTAATCGCATCTGAATACCAGTGAAATGTCAGGGGTTCTATAATGGGAAGAGGAATTAAAAGGGAGATGTGTGGTGTTGCTGCTTCATGCCTGTGAATGGTAAGCACCAGGCCACAAGCTTTGGTTTCTCAGTTTTTTCCTTTCTCTCCACTTTCATGCTTTCTTTATTCCTTGTGGTATCACATAAAAACTCACAAGCAACCTGTCCAAATTTTATCTTTTTTTAAACTAAAATTAAAAAAACCAAAATAAAACACAAAATTATGGCCTCAGTGAAAGGAGTATAATCTCCATTTTATTTTACAAGGTGAAACCAAAGGCTTCGCAGACGTTGAGTACAACTAAGATAACGTTACCATTAGCATTTTACCAGCCATCAGACGCCAGACACGAGCAGTGCTTTAAAGGGAACATTAGCTTACACACCCTCACGTACCTGAGGGAAGGACCTTTCATGACTCTTTCTCCAGTATGTGCACAGGGGATTTTTCTTGTCATGAGCGAGGGACAAAGAACCGCGGTCCAAGGCTATAGCTGAGCTGTTCTTGTCTAGATTTGATTCGTGAAGACATTAATCACTTACAGTGATCCTGTTGTGTTACTGGAGTTCAAATGTTCTCAGTAACTAAACGTCAGAAATGGATCATTAAAAACACAAGCGTAAAAAAATTGCAGGCAGGCCAGTAAGAAAAGAAAACTGTCAACGTCAGAGGTTTTATTCAGGGATTTTTGTAAGTAACATTGTCAGCTGTGTTCCATCCAGCAGCAGAAAGCTAAGAAATAAGAACTTGTTTTCTTATTTTTGACAAGTAGCATTTAAGTTCACATTAATCTTCCGGTAGGGATCAGCAATGATACGGCCAGTAGTATGTGAAAGTGGTATACAAAGTATGTTTTTTTGTATATGAAACAAAGTTTCATCTTAAAAATTGTACATAAAATGTTGGGAGTTGGAAGGCTTTCCCTGCATGTATTGTAGGTAGCTAAAAGGCCTTCTTACGGCATCAGAGGGAATATAAATAATAGCGTGTATATGTGCTGCTGAGTACTCTTGTGAGGACAAGAATGTTCGACACTTTGTAGTACTTATGTGGAAAACGTGAAGGATTTGGATAATCTCATCTCATCACATAATTGTATTGGGAGGAGTAAGGGGGACGGTTGCCTGGTGGATTTTACTGTTGGGATAAAATCAGTAGAGAACCACCCCCCTGTCTCTGCCTGTTTTAAAGGACTTGAACATTCTGTGTGGACACTTTAGTCCTGTAGCATGCTGACGTTGAAGCACCACATGGAAGCTAGTCCTGGAAAAGTACTGGGGAAAAGTTGCCCATGGTTGCTTGAGCTTGGTTGACTGGAGATGAGAAACATGTGCATTGGGCTTGTTTTGTCTTTGAGCTGCTTTGCAGGTCACTGTGTAACACAGTTCACTAACCCAAGTTTCACAAATGCTGCAAGAGAGCTCATTATTGGGGATTGTTTTGCCCTACACAAGTGCAGCATGGGAAGTCCTGGTTCATGTTCCTTAGAGCTTCTATATCTGTATTTCTGAAGCATGTTTATTTCGACTTTCAAGTTCTGCGCGCTTGTTGTTGTAAAACGGCGTGCACCTGGAAGTGTCTGCACTTGCCCACGGCAACGTGCGGGTCTGTCCTCAGTCAGTGAAGGTTGCCAACAGCACTGTTTGGTACTCCTGACCGCTTGTTACCACATGCACATCCAGTCTTGCCAACGTAAGGGCACACCTTAAGAAAGGAGAGGAGCGTTTGCAGCAGGTTATCTGCCTTGTTTTGATTCCTTCGTAGCAGCCAGAAGAGAAGCAAGGTGTGAGTCAGCCTTTGCCTGGAATTTAACTGTTGATCTCTCTTCAAGGAGTGCTCAAGGTGTGTCCTTCCTGGGATCTCCTCAGCAACTCAACATAGTTCCTGTCTTCTCTCAAATGAGGTCTCACCACAGATGTGTAGCTTCAGAGGAGGGTAGGAGGTCAGTGGTAGTCTGTCCCTTCTAAGACAGACACTGGTTTGAGTGCTTCAGCTAAAAAAAATCTGAGGTTAGGTAACATATTTCTGATTCATAATGCGTAACACATCTCTGATAGCAACCTTTACGCCACAAGAGCCAGAAGTGAGATACTGATGGCTTAATCACATTTCCTACTGGTCTGCCCCCAGTCTTGGATGCTACAAGAGGTTCGTAGGGCATCTGCCTGTTAGCAGGATTTGTGACTCCCTCCTATTTTTTTTTCAGTCCACTTCTATAACAAATTATGATTTCATTTTCATTTACTGTTCAAACCTTGGAACATCTGAGAAGGCACAAATCTACAAGTTTGTTTTCCAGAGGTTAAATTCACCAATGTGAATTATTTGAACTGAGCATATCCAATGTATCTTTAAATACCATTGTGAGAGCAATGAAGGTTTCAAAGTTTAAAGCTGTTTTTCCATCATCTCTCAGTGCCTTGAGCCCATGGTGGCTCAGATCTTGTCAGGCAAGTGGGAGGCAACTGCATGGAAGAATGGTTGTGTTGTCAGTTTTCTCTTCCTGTTCCCTATTTTCTTGCTGTCCTGCTTCCCGCTACATAGTAAGACAGCTCATAGACAGGATACATCTCCATGACGTACCACGTCTTGTGTCCAAGAGAAGCATTATAGAAGCTGGCTGCAGTTAGAAGATGACAAAGTCCGTCTGGGAAGTTCAGCTGACTGAGGAGAACTGGGATATATTATAAAGCAGCTACAGTTGCCATCAGACAGGATAATAGAATTGAAGGTGGGTCTGGGGTTGTTTTTGTTTTGTTTCTTTCTGAGGTGGCTGGTTTATGCAGATACTTAATTTATTCAATATCTAGTGTCTGCCAGAACAAGGAGAGTTAGTCTATGTGTAAAGTTTCTGGTTGCTAGTGTGTTTTTAAGTCTGCCTAACCTTGATGTCACCTCTTTTGGTATGACTATGTAAGCTTATTTTATTTGAGCATAGGCTGCTAAGAACTGTCACTTAAAAAAATTGGAATCAATTAGTTACCGCTGTCTAAGGACAACACTGGGAGCTTAGGATAACACTCAGTGAATCTGTTAACTAGAAGAACTCTGTGATTATTTCCATTATTTCTGTTTAACATCTTCATTTGGTATGGGAGAGGCCTGTAATGTGTGTGTGTACACAAGATCACAGGATGGCTGCGTGGCCTGCAGAATAGAAACAAAGGTGACAGGGAAAAGCGCGCTAAGGCTATAGGAGAAGGGCAGTGGGTGTGTGCAACACTTTCAGTCCGATTTAAGACTTGACGATATTTCTGCAAGTGTGTTTCACTTGTTGCTGAATTATCTACAACCTGGTGATAAAAAATACGGAATGTGGATGAAGCAGAAAGATTTATAGTGCGTTTCCCCAGACTTTTCACCATAGAGTTAGCTTTTCTTTCTTTCCTACTGCAGGCCTCACTTTTTTATAAAATATCTAGCCTGCACAGCATATGGAAAGTTGCTTTGTTAGTTTTCCTTGTCTCAGCAAGTTGGCCGAAATACTCTTCACTTACATAATGCTTTCCCTGTACTCAGGATCATAATGTTTTGGGGAGAGAGGAGTGACTATAACTGTTTCTGCAGAAAATGTGAGTAAAACGAGTTAAGATCATAATATCATCAGTCATGTGGGTGGCATAAAGCCATTCTCACACAACTACTTCATTGTGCATGAGGTCTGCCTATGAGACCA